CCCGCGTACCTCGCCCGCCCTCAGCCCTTTCCCCTCCCGTCCGACTCGCGCTGCCCCACACGGCAGGTACCGGTGCAACGCCCGGGACGCCACCGAGACGTGAGCGGCTTTAGCGTCTCCCTCTCCACTTCGGCGACCGCGTCCCTCGCTATTGACAGCTCAAGGCTTACCGGCCCGGTACGACCTTCCCCGTCCACCCCTGCCTGCGCCATTCCCCCACAGCGCCCTCGCGCTGTTCCCGCGCCGCCCGGCCCCGCGGGGGCTCCTCTCCTCACCCCGCGGGCTCCGCTCAGCCTCTGCCTTCACCTCCAGGGAAAACCCAGTAAGTTATTCCAACCTTCAGCGCTCCGCTTACCACCCAAACCTGTTGAAATGCCGTCATTCTGACTCCAAGCTAACCCTGAGATTTTCAAAGTTTATCCAAGTAAATAATATGAATAAATTTGGCTTTGAAAAAAATTATTTTTGGCGTTACCTTTCACTGCAGAACCCTAAAACTTTAATTGAGGTTTTGGTTTTGTTTCATTGATCTTGAAGCTACCACGGAAGTCCTGTGTACCGATACACACGGCTGGAGGGGCCACGAGCTGTACTGCAAAGGAGAAAACTCAGGGCAGCTGCCTTCAATTACTGCAAGGCAGTATTTCAGTCACTACAGAGAGTAATTAATGAAATAAAGGATTATAGACGTACAACTTCAAAACAGAATTGGTTCTTCAAAATTAAAGTTTGTTTTCTCCGCAATGAACATTTTTCTGGTATTTTTTTAAAGAGTATTTCAGGATTATTTTTTTTTAACAAGCCATCATCAAACCTGATGGTTTTGAACCTTTCTCTTTGACAAAGGTGGTATTTTGTTACGAAAACATTTCAGTGAAACTACCTCTACTATCCCTTTCCTCTACCACTGCCTTATTCGTGTCCCTATCTGCTCTTTTAGCCCTCATTCATCCACAACTATCTCCATCTAATTAATAATAAATAACAACTACAGACAGTAATTAGAAGAGCAATAAAACCTTAATACTGCTGATATTCTCCAGGGACCGGGTGAAGAATGCCCATCTTCCAGCTTTATAAGAAGCTCTACTGTTAAGTGGAACCTATCCCTTTTGGTGTTACCTTTGTAAGTTAAAGGATAAAAACCATCAGCAGCAAGGCTGACTTGGAAAGAAGTCTTTTAAAGAGAGGAAAAACCCAATGCCACCTCTTGACCTTGGTTTCAGCACTTCCTTTTTTATCATCTTCTGACCTGATGGATTCAGCTGTTGCTGTCGTGAGTCCATCTGTTGGTTTGGTTTAATTGGGAAGGTACCACACCCACTTGACAGGTTTCTATCATTACAGTGCATGTTTTTCCAGATTAAACCAGTCTACTACGTACTTAGGTACTTGCCTTAAATGTCCATGAAAGTCACTAGAACTTCTTTTCTCGACAGTCAGATATTTAGGTGTCAAAAATGCTTGGTACATTTTCAAAAGTATCTAAATCAAGACTAGTTGCCTAACAACCACTGCAGGCACTGGAAGTAGGCACCTAGCATGCTTAGTAGGAGTTAGTGCCTAACCTGCTTAGGCACTTAGTACCTTTACAAATCTAGGCTCAGGTATCTAAATCATTTTTTTAAATGAGGCTTATGAAGTTAAGCACTGAGGCACTATTGAGGAATTCGTAACTAATAAAGCCTGGATCTAACATAAGCAAAAAGCATCTCATAGAAAAGGGCTGCTTCCCTTGCAAATGTTTTAATGAAATTCCTGGATTCTGGCCTCGCCATTGCCTATTTTCTAACCCCCAGTCCTTATAATGGACCATAGCAAGATGTACTGGAAGCTACCAAATACTCCTCAAAACCAAACTTTGTAAGCCTCCCAATAAAACCATGAAACAGAGAGAAAACATTTTTTACAGTTGGTCCAAACCCATAAGCATATAGTTTTGCATATTTCAAAAGCTAACTGGCCCTTTTTTGCTAGATCAAATTATCTACTATGTATAGATATATAAACTGACACTGTTTAGTCACAAAAGTGCTAATTACTGAAGCCATCAATTCTTCTCTAAACAGCTGTTTTCCCTTCTTCTTCTAGAAACTTGTGTCTAATTATTTTACTAAGATTGCTTCACTTTTATGTCACTTTGATACTAGTTACTCATTCCTGAATGAAATGGCCAGCATTAGATGGATGTTTTAGAATGTGTACCAGCTACCATAATAATAAGTGATGACATTTTGAATGGAAACAACCATTGTTCAGAGAAAAAAGAAATATGGATGTCCTCATCTGTCACACACTCTGTGTTATACCATATTCAGTGTACTTCCTTTATATGTTGAAGAATGGCAGAGCGGCGAACAAAGACATTTGTTGCAGATTTGCAACTAAATGACACTCATTCCTCCCTCGATAACATTTATTGCTTGTCACGGTTTTATTCTCTGTAAG